GTTTCTCTGGTTTTCTAGTGGAGATGGTCCTAATGGGCTTCAGTTTATGACGTCCTTGTCTACGGCTGCGAGCATGGAATATGTTCAGTGATTTTAGTCGTACAATAACACTGCCATCAGAATAACCATTGCCATGCTTTAGATTGTACTGGGCACGTCAGGATTAAGTAATTGGTGGACATCTGTTGATATCTGTTGTTGTGGACAGACGGAAGTGTTTGTCCACGGTGTCTATAAACTCAATGGCGGCACTTTGAGGGCCACTGACATTGGAAGACGTCTGTTAATATTTGTCTAGCCTTAAACACCTTAAGTCCTAGTCTCTGGCTCTTAAGGTTCTGACACAGTACCTACCGCATATGTAAACAAAGCGGTGGTCCTTGTCACTGGCACTTTGAAGGTGACCGACAAAGTGCCCACGGTATGGTGTTACACTGCTGTGTTTTTGTGCTTTTCCTTGGAATACAATATCGGATCACTGTTGGGTAACCAATCATTGCACTGATCATTTGAGTGTTTTGCTGATAAATCCCGGTGTAGTGAGGTTGGTAGGGAGTTAGGATATAGCAAGGGAAGGGGGGCAAACTGACTTGGCCTGGCTGCCAATTAGGAGTGCCTGCAGAACACGTCTTGTCTCACTGAGGGCTGACTGATGAGTAATCACGGCAAAATTATTATTTCTATATGTAACTGCAAGTAAAACACAAAATTTTTGTTTCCGCATTATGAAAATTTTATACAGTATACTTCACTTTCTGCCTTCATTATTTCATGTGATTGCAGCAAGATTCGTTTTAAAATTTTTATATATTTAGGGAAAAAAAAAATAGAAGAAATGCTGTGAAAAAATTAATATTTCACTAGAGAGAGGTATCAGAAGGCACCACACTATCACCACATGGTGCAATTTCTTCTCGTTCTTTACATTTTCCCACCCCTCCTCCCTCGCCAGCATCATGAGGCACGGTTCAAAACTTTCACAACATTGTTATGAATAAATTATATCACTGTGATGCAAGAGAAATTAGCACAAGCCACAAGAAAATGCATGGGAAATATAGAGCCATGTTATACCCTGGGTCCTTTAAACACAAAAGGGAGACTGATGTGGTGACCTTGGAGGACAGTCTATATAGTTGCCAGATCACGCTGAGGTTGCTAAATGTGCGTCTTGTATGTCTAGCATTCATATGCCTCCCCATAAATAAAAAAAAAAAAAAAAAATATATATATATATATATATATATATATATATATATATATATATATATATATATATATATATATACTATATATATATATATATATATATATATATATATATATATATATATATATATACACACACACACACACACACACAGTATATATACACTAGTCTTACAAGGAATCCAGCAATGTCAATTATATTATCCTAACTTTAGTCTGAGGTATTATTTATTACTAAAAAGGTAAATATTCTGGTTTTCCCACACATTTATCTGGTAGGGAGGGTTGGTGGGGGGTGGGGGGGAGGGAGGGACCGACCGACCATCTGGCACGGTGTGAAGAATATTTTTTTTTTTTATTAACTGAAGATATTTGTTTTAGCTCATAAAATTCATACAAATTACCCGGCCAGAATATAATTTACATTGCTGGAATTCTTACAATTTGATGATCATTTTGAATATAAACATCATAGATTTTGCATTAGACATACAAATTTTAGATGTAATGTTTACTCTGAGTAAATATGTTATCTTTTGTGCAAAATATATGACATTTATATTCAAAATGTTCCTGGTCTTACAAGGAATCCAGCAATGTCAATTATATTATCCTAACTTTAGTCTGAGGTATTATTTGTTACTAAAAGTTAAAATTGTTTTTTCACCCAACATTTCTCTGGTAGGCAGGGAAGGGTTGGGACCAACCGACCATCTGGCGCAGTTGGAAGAGGGGGGAGGCAAGTTGGGGTACTTTGATTGACAGATAGTGTTGTGAAGAATATTTTTTTTTTATATGAATATGAAGTTTACATTCAAAATATTCCCTGACCTGCAAGGAATCCAGAAATGTCAATTATATTATCCTAACTTTAGTTTGAGGTATTATTTATTACTAAACGTTAAAATGAATATAATTAACATAGCTGGGATTCTTGTAAGATACTGATTTATTTGAATATAAACATGTTGTAATTCGCACTAGACATAACAATTTTAGTACCGTAATCAAATTAGTACATGTGCAGTCCAGCTTTGCACTAATTTATTTTACAATTATTTTAGTATGGTGCGTGAATGTAAATGGGTGAAAATTAATGAAGAAATTTGTGTAAATCTACCCAAAAATACAATTGAAAAACTTTTTATAAAATGTACATTGTACACTAATGTACTACATTTTTTATATCATGAGCAAAATATATGATGCTTATATTCAAATTAATCTCTGTCTTGCAAGGATTTCAGCAATGCAAATTATATTATCGTAACTTTAGTCTGAGATATTGAGATATTGTATAAAATAAACAAAGAAATCACCAATCTTTTGTCTGGGAACACAAGGAGGGTGGGAAGATTGGGGAGGGGGGGGATAGAATGTCTGGCGTTTGTTTGTTTATTTATTTGAGATAAGATTTGACAGTTGGCGCTGAAGGCCTGCCTGCGTATTTATTTATCATTACTTAAGAGTGACTAAGCTCTTCTCATAATTTTCCACCCAAGCGACCTGGGTGAATATAACTTACATTGGAGGGATTCTTGTAAGATAGTAATTTATTTGAATGTTTTTTTTTTTCAATTTAAATTTATTTAATTGTTTATTCCTTGATAGAGGAAGCGGGATCCTAGTGGTCACTTGGTACCCCTGTACCATAACACCAGAAGCAACTGGCCAGTGTCACAAGTATATACAGTCATCCCTTGGTTATCGCGCCTAATTGGGACCCCTCCAATAACGAAAGTACAGAACCTATGGGATTTATTCTAAATGGTTCCAGGCATAAACAAGACATACGCATGCCTAGGTTTATTACAAAGTGATGAAAAGGGTACGCTAATACTGGAGTCCACAAAACATGTAGCTGTGCTTTTTTTTTATTTGGTCCCCCGTCAAACGAGTCCGTTTTCTCTCACATCAGGACGCCCGAGTCCTCCGTTTTCTCTCTTAATCTTAGAGTGCACTAGAAACTTTACTATTTTTAGTAATGCAACAGATTTTGAAATTGCAACCCCAATTGCGACTTGCAATTGTTGAGGCAACTAGATATGTCTGATTACAGCAAATGTGTTATTGTCAATTTGTAGGTGAAAGATTTTATCCTTAAAAGATGTAGGTTAACATTTCACCTGTAGGCAAATGCTAAGAAAAGCCTAAGTAAGGAAGCATATTCCTTTAACACATAATATCTGGCCAGTATGGGGAGGACCATCGTGTCTCCGTCAGGGGGTCGTGGAGTGGTGGTCCAGCAGGCGTATGACTGTATATACAGTCGACCCTCGTTAATTCGGACTAATAGGGAGGGGGGGGCAGGGTGTCCGTTTTAGCCGATTGTCCGAATTAACCGATTTAGGGGTTAATATTGCATTATATTTCAAAGTATTTAAATCATCTTGTGTCACAGAAAGACTTCTGGTTGAAGCTAGTTTGATTAAGGAATTAAAATCAATAAACCTTAGTGATGGTCAGTTCAAAACTGATAATATGTTACATTAATGTATTTGTCAGTGGCCCAAGGTTAAAAATGCTTTGAAAACCTTTGATCTAGATGTATGGTAGTTATTTAGTGGGTCCCTTATTTTTGACCTGATCTGACTAGTCACGTCACCCCCCTTCTCTTTAGCTCCTCTACGTGTGTGTTGGTGTGGGGATTAGTGGATGACATCATTATGACCTGACCTCATGTTTTTAAGGTCACCCTGTATATTTAAGCCTCTCTCTGTCCATGTAATCCAGTTGTCTCTGAAGATGTCTTGAATAAAGACGAAAGCTAAGGTGCTCCATTGTTTCCCTTTTATTGTGTGATTTTATCAAGATTTATCTTATCCACGTTTTCATTGTGGATCTACATGATATATATATATATATATATATATATATATATATATATATATATATATATATATATATATATATATATATATATATATATATATATATATATATATATATATATATATATATATATATATATATATATATATATATATATATATTTTTTCTTCATACAATTTGCATATGAACACCCCAAAGCAATATTTTAGATTATACACAATTTCACAAATAATCTCCTTAAACTTCTTCCCTCCTTCTAGCCCTGAACATCCTCCACCCCCATAACCCGCCATCCACTCATACACTGACCCATATGCAATCCCCAGGACCACCACTCCCCTTCTCTCTTGAATGCTTTGGATTCAGGAGCCGATGATCTCTGGGTTCACACCCCACAGACTGACAATGCTGATTATACAGTTGGAAAAGTCCCCAATTGTACAAGAAGCAGAGGGTGGACATCCAGGATACAGGAGAGTACATAAAAATGAGGAAAGGTTGGCATCAAGAAGTTCATGGAGTAGGAATAAATAAATGACAGCATTAAATATATAATCATTGATTGCTCTTGGCCACCCTGCAATACAGTAGGAATATGCCTGAAAATAAAAATAAGCTGGGACCATTTTCCAAAAATCTAGTAATTAACAGAGAATTAGAAGTAGACATAACTCAGCTGCAGAGGCCAACAGCTAAGATTCTCTCTGCTACAGTGCATACACACCATGAATCAGGCAGGGCAAAAAATGGGAAGTTAACTCATTTCTTAGCTCTTATCAGCACCCTAATGGGGAGAGGGGAGGGGGATCTGAGTCACCCAACCAAACTTTGCTGTCGATGGAAGATTGATCCTGAAATCTCATTTTGTAACCAGGTAAGGATCTCACAACTCCGTAAAATCAGCATGTCTAGATATTGTTACCCCACAGTTTTTATGAAGTACCAGGTAAACTACTCACCATCAACTTTCTCATGAGTCTGAGTAGTGTTAACAGGGTTCTTGCCAGGCCATTTCTCTAGTTTCTCACGCTCTTTCTCTTCACTAGTCTTCATGTACTGAATTAGTGTTGATCTGTTATGGAAGATAAATAATATTCAACACATCTCTCTCTTAATACTTCTTTTTCATTTAAAACTCTCAATGCACATACAAATGGAAGGAAGATAATAGACAGATTGACATGCAGAAAAAAAGAAGAAAATATTTACCTTTCTATTATCTTGATTTCAGCAATTTTACCTGAATATTACAAAATTTAAAATTCAAACAATAAAAATATGAGTAAAATAAACATTAAAAAAACAATGCCAATCTATTATAAATAAAAGAAATAGGCCATTTCTGGAACTTCCGAGAAAATTTTTCCATTATCCAGAAAATTCTGGACAATTCCGAGGATGAGGGATTATTTTTCCGGCAACGAGTGCATAACCGTATATACCCGTGTATAGTTTCAGTTTTTAAGACCAAATTTTTAGGCACAAAATTGAGGGTCGACCTATACATGGGTAATAGTTTCGTTAGGATGAATCCGTGCATGATGGGAAGGGCTAGGAGCAACTTTTAGCTTTAGACATACAAACCCCACAGAAAAAAAGAAAAAAGAAATGGAGACACCAAAAAGGTAAAAAAAAATACTGTCTGACTTGAAACACTGTTGGTAGGGTCAGGTGGTTCTAATAGCATCCTGCCGGTAATCAAATTTATAACAGTGTCTCTAACCTCAATTACTGTAGTCTATCTGATGTAGGCAATATGAAGTAGAAAACACCAGTTAATGTGAGAAATTGGAAGAGAATAAACAAGAAAGATGCCATTGGGCTATTTTTGGGAGGGCTGAGGGAGAGATTACCGGCTGTTTGGTCTTTTTTGGAGGGAGTCACGCAAATATCCGTACTGGTATTTGTTTGGTGTCTTCTGTATTTTTAAAAATGAATACTTGTAAATTAAAAGTACTGTAACATTGTATTATATACAAACTTGTCATATTTCTGGAAAATAAGAAGCAAGACAAAAAGAAAATAAACACAATTTCAAAGTACAGTAATATTAGAGGCTGCTTAGGAAAGGCCGATGCAAAGGCAAAGCCTCCGAAACCAGGGCTCTGCCGTATCAGCTAGACGATACATGTTTTTTGAATCGTTTTCAGTTAAAAAACTGTTACATCACAAGTATATTTTACCTTAACTGTGCCCGAATGAATATATTCTCAGAAATAAATGGTAGTTTTGCTGAAACGTGATGTATTTCAATGTAAAATAGGATAAAATACATGACGAAAACAAAAGACCTTACCTAACCTTCCCATGTTCAAGAGATGTTACTAGTTTTTTTAATAATTTTCGGTTAAAATACTGTTATATTACAATGATATTCTATTCATACTGTGCTTGATATAATACATTCACGGAAATGTAATATTTTTGCTGAAATGACGTACGCATTACAGTGGAAAGTGGGATAAAATCATGACGAAAACAATTGACTTTCACTTTATTTCGTTGTTCAAAAGATGTTACCGTAATCGCTTTTTGAATGGTTTTCAATTAAAAAAACTGTTGTATTACAATAATATTCTATCCTAATTGACTTGAATAAATACTTAAATGGAAATATACAATATTTTTGCTGAAACTACCCGCGTTTCAGTGTAAAGTGCCGTAATAATAAATGGCAAACAATTTGCCTTCGGCACTCGGTGTTTCAAGCACAGCAACCCTCAGTTTATAGGACGTAGTGTGTATTAGTGAAGGTTTTCTGAAATGAGTTTTATATGTCATAAAATCTGGTGCTTTACTACCCAAACTTGTTGTTCCATTACCCTCAAAAACTTGGGTCGACCTATACACGAGGAATGTCATAAATTAATGATTTCTTGGACAAAATCAAGGGTCGACCTATACACGAGGTAGAATTATAAACGAGTACATACGGCTAATCTTGTTACCCACAAATCTGTCATTCCCGAACAGGGTTAAACTTAAAATTTACAGTGCAGTAATATCTCTCTTAGCCGGAATCCCTCAAACCCAGAAATCTCCAATAGCTGGAATTGAAATTTGCTCGGAAAATCATTCCCAAAGCCGTAATTTTCCAAAAAATTTACAGCTTTGGGAACAAATTTTCCGAGGTTGAAAATTTCTGACAATGTCTTGAATAGAAATTGAGGACATAATCTGGCCAGATGTCTTTCACACACCATCCTTAGTTGTATTTTTCACCTCATCACAAGTCAGCAATGTTGTTTACAGCATTCATAATGTTATATTTCCTCAAAAATCTCAGATTAATTGTTCATCCTCATTATCAATTGCAGCTGTAAGTTTTATCAATGTCCAGTGTAGACACCAGGCTTAAAGCTGGAAATCATACCTCAATCCATAGGCTGTGACAAGGAAGTTGTGTTCCTGGGCAGGTATTCAACCCTGATGTTAGGCGAAAGGTCATTAAGGTCAACAGGGTGGCTGGGAGCATTATCAAGAAGTAACAAGGCTTTTTGGCAATATTTTGTCAGGTACTACAGGCATCCCCTGCGTTAAGGAAGGGTTCCGTTCCCGGAAAATTGACCGTATCGCGAAATTCCGTAACACGAAACCTATTTTCCCATTGACTTCCATTATAAAACTGGAGATGCGTTCCTAAGGAATTTTTTTCGGCCCCAAAAAAGTAATTCAAGCACTTTTATTAATGAAAATAAACATTTATAAACACATACAATACAGTACATTAAATAATTTATGATATACAGTGGGGTATGCTATAACGAACGGATCCTACTACGAATATTCCTATAACGAACGGTTTTACTTATAAAATTGAGAATGCTATAACGAACGAAACTCCTACAACGAACATTTAAAAAAAAAAAAATTTTTTTTTTTTACTAATTTATTGTTTTTTGTTACAAATATTAATGATATTCTTTATTTCAGGGGTTTAGATGCATATTTATGCACTTTTTTACAATTTTATATTATATTTTTCAGTGTTAAGTGGTTGTATTTGGGGGCCTGGAACGGATTAATCCTATAACGAACGAATGCTATAACGAACAAGGTTCTAGAACCAATTAGATTCGTTATAGCATACCCCACTGTACCTTCTTAAAACACCAATTTAGGGGTTAATATTGCATTATACAGCTATGTGTATGTTTATTTGAATGCCCCGTCATAGGAGTCCATTTTCTCTCACTTCAGCACTCCTGAGTCGTCCGTTTTCTCTTAATCTTAAGAGTGCACCAGGGACTATTATTTTTTAGTAGTGACACAGAATTTGATATTGCAACTGGGGTTGCAATTGTTGAGGCAACTTAGGTATGTCTGATTACAGTTGGAATATTCAAGATCCATTGTGAGTGATGCTTAAAGCTTCAACTGTCTTTATGGTTGGTAAAACTTGTCAAGTCTGTCAGTCTGAATGGCCTTGTGTTTGTTAAAATTTACCCCAATTTTCGTAAGGGCGGATTTACGGGCCGTAACGCGAAATTATTGGTCATAATTTACAAATTCTGTAAGAGTGAAATTCCGTAACCCAGGCTTCCGTAACGCAGGGGATGCCTGTATACCTTTATACAGGGCAAAAGCAGTTAGTAAACCAATCTTGTTAGAGGATTCCAGTCATCCATGCTTTTGTTGTGGAGCACCATATCACTGGTAACCTGGATTTGGTGTATCCCATGAAAGCCCTGGGATTTTCCGAGTGGTACAAAAGCATGGGTTTTATCTTGAAATCATCTGCTGCATTAACCCCCTAACAGGAGCTTCACACACTTTTCCGAAGCCTTAAACCCAGGAGCTGTTTTCTCCTTGGTTGAAATACATGTTCTGGCAGGCATGTGCTTACAAAAGAAGCCTGTTTTGTCAACATTATACACTTGCTGTGGTGTATATCCATCAGCCTCAATGATTTCCTTTAGTTCAGCAGGATAATTTTTAGCAGCCTCAGCAACAGCACTAGCTGCTTTACCTACCATCTTGATGTTGCGTAGGTTTGAACGTTTCTTAAAACGCTCAAACCACCCTTTGCAAGCATTAAAGGGTTTTCATCAGAGCTACCACCTTCTTTCTGGCTTAAATCTGCATACAGACTCTTAGTCTTCTCCTCAATCACCATTGTGTTAATGGGCACATTTCTCTTGGTCTGGTTCTCTATCCATACACTGAGTAAGAATTACATTTTTATCATTACATCACTACAATGAAAATAAAGTATGGGCTGACAGAGGAGTAACAACTACAGTAAATCCTCGATAACTCGGCACATATGGGGCTCTAGCCTTGCCGAGTTATCCCAAATTCCGACTTATCAAGGCACCTCCTCCCCCCCTATAAAAATACGACAATAAAAAATTATCGACCCATATATGTGTACACGTAATTACTAAATGTAAAAAAGTAACACTTACAAGCACTGCACACAAAGAATGAAGCATCATAGACAGTGACACAGATGCATGGTAAGTGACACAGAGGCATGGAAGGTGACACAGGCGGTCAGATATGCTGAGATTTTCCCAGATAATTTTATATATCTCGGCATTTCCCGAGTTATACTATAACACATTCCGAGACCATATCCATGCCGAGTTATATGAAATTCCGAGTTATCGAGGGTTTACTGTAATATCACTAGCCTTAATTTTGTCTTTGTCATAATGGATTGTTCCAATAGTGGAGGTAGCAAGGCCCAAAGTTTTTGCAATGTAGCTCAGTTTTTCCCCCTGGTTAAACCTCCTTAAGTGTGCTCTTAGCACCACTGCTAGTAATTGCGCTTGATGGTCTCTTTCCACTCATCTTGAATGAGATTGCACAGTACAGTAAGTACTCATTTAACGTCATGGTTAAGTTCTTGAAAAACACAACGTTAACGGAAACAATGTTAGTGGAATCAATTTTCCCCACAAGAAATAGATAAAATACGCTAGTTATGTTCCCCAGCCTCCCTTTGCCCCATAAAATAACTACATATGCATAAATTCAATGGAATTTTTATAGAAAATATATATTATACAGTACATCCAAAACGATAAATAAACTAAATCATTTTGTATTGTACTCACTGATGAGCAGAGGTGGAGAGAGTGGCGAGTCACCGAGACCTGGAGGGGGGGCTCCCCTTCCCGATCTGACTGGGGTGCCCCCCCACAACACTAGCATCACTAACACAAAATGTCCGCTTGGAAGCCATTTCGATTGGTTACAGTACAGTACAGTCATGCGCCGGTTAACGTCCACCACACCCTGATGGAGACACGATGATCCTCCCCATACTGGCCAGATATTATGTGTTAAAGGAATATCCTTCCTTCCTTAGGCATTTGCCTCCAGGTGTAATGTTAACCTACATCTATTGAGGATAAAATCTTTCACCTACAAATTGACAATAACACATTTGCTGTAATCAGACATATCTAGTTGCCTCAACAATTGCAACCCCAGTTGCAATTGGGGTTGCAATTTCAAATTCTGTGTCATTACTAAGGAATAACGAAGTCTGGTGCACTGCACTCTAAGATTAAGAGAAAACGGACTCCTTTGACGGGGCACTTAAATAAAGAGAGACATAGCTACATGTTTTGTGGACTACCCACTTTACAGTATCCTTTTCATCGCTTTGTAATAAACCTAGCCATGCCTATGTGTGTTTATGATATTTAACACACACACACACACACACACACACACACACACATACATACATACATACATACATACATACATACATACATACATACATACATACATACATACATACATACATACATACATACATACATACATACATACATACATACATACATACATACATACATACATACTACATACATACATATATACATACATATATACATATATATATATATATATATATATATATATATATATATATATATATATATATTATATATATTTTTTTAGTGGGTCTAAATGGTCATAAAATGGGAAACTTGGGGTTGGGTGCCTAGAACCAATTAGAATAAATCCCATAGGGTTTATGTAATTTCGGACAACGTCCATTTCGGTTAACATCACGTTTCCAAGAATGTATCTAGGGCGTTAACCAGCACATGACTGTATTATAGCAAAAATACTTAAGTACGTACGAACGCTGTGGAAGCCTAACAAAAACTGGGGATGCTGTGACACTGCGAGAGCAAAGCACACCAAGATGAGAGAGGGTAATGCGCAAGACAAAGTAGTCTGTGTTGGGTGACAACATTATAACGAATCGGTTGGGACGTTGTCGGAATCATGGGTATCTAATGAGTAGCGACGCTATAACAAAACATCATTGTCAGGGGCAGCGTTAAACGAGGACTTGTACAATACCTTTAACAGAGTCCAGAAAAGAGAGGCAAAACTGAGAAATAGCTGGAGGTTCAAAAAGACCGAAAACGTTGTTGGTGTTGTTATGAGACCGCTGGTGCCTTTTTGCTACCACAGATGCATCCACATGAAATAAATTTTATAATTTGGGTAAAAATTTAGGTTCAAAATCTTTTTTTTTTTTTCAAAATTCCTAAAGGAGATCTTTTCTATATCGAGATTTTTTGGTCATAATTTAAAAATTCATGGGCATTTTTTTCTATAAAGAGATTTTTTAGTCATAGTTAAAAAATTCCATAAGGGAGAATTTCCATAACCTGAGTTTCCATAATGCGGGGATGCTTGTAATAAGAATAACACTAGGCAGGGACAAAATACTCAATAGTGATAAACATCTCCTATATCCCAAGACTTAATGTTTCTCAAGTGCTAATAATGACGATGATGCTCAGAGATTATACAATAAAACATTTATATCTTTGCATCATGCTAATTCATCTTTACAGTAGACATCCGCTCTTGTGACTTTTCTTATTCTATGGATACTTGCACATCACTGCTCTCGTGAGCTTCACTCAATAGTGGTGCTAGACCGCACAAGAAATTATCATAATGTTTACGGGTATTTTTTAAGCATTTCTAAAATTTGTATCTGATAGTAAGCCACACCTCCACTTTTGCCAAATTCTTAAGGAAGAACAGTATCACTTTACCTAAACCCTTTTTCCAATGAGACCTTGCCCTTGTCTACCAAGGTTTTACCATGAAACCCAGCCCTTGCCTCCCACTGTTTTCCAAATGAAGGAGAATTTTAAAATTTGTCCCCCCACAATTGGCAAAATATTAATGTACTATAATGGCTCTTAAGTACCATTTGCAGCCTTCTGGTGATGCTACAGCTAAAATGCAACAGAAAAATAAAAATAATGAACACAGAACTTTAAGATATGAATAAATAGCCATAAACAAACCTTGAGAAAGTGAACACACGGTCATATACCTCTCGCTCCTCTTGAGTGAGAGATAATTTGTGCTGTACAATCTTCTTCTCTGGGAGTTCCACCATCTTTTTGCCTGACTTCTGATCAACCTGCAATAAAGAGTTGGTGATAAGTTAGAGGACAAAAATTATATGGAAACAAGAAACATTATTCCAATTAGTGTTACAACTGAAATACCCGACACTAATCACATATAATTACAGGGGGATCTTGGTATACGAGAATTCTTTATACAAGAATTTGATAATACGAGGTTAAGGAATTTGCACCTTATATTCGTTATACAAGAAGCAAATACAGTTATATTCTGCTAAGTTTAGACTGTGATATTTTATAAGATACAAACTTTAAGCCTAAAACTACCTTCACCTTGGCTGGGAGAAGGGGGAGGTGAGGTGTTGACTTCTGGGCGGAGGTTACCAAGTGAGTAATCATCAGTCAAATAGGTGAGTTTAAGTTTTCTCTTACAAAATTTCACTGAATTGATTTGGCTGAATATAACTTACATTGCTGGAACTCTTGTAAGATATTGATTAATTCAAAATTATTGATTTAAAGCGACACCCGCAATTAAGGACAATGTATTAATTTAAAGAGAATCTTTCCTATTTTACTCAAATCAATCTGGCGCATCATATGAAAATACACACTATTTTAAATTTTGCGACTAATGTTTCCCGCCTGACATGTCTCTGGGCGAGCTACACTGCTGCCCGCTACCCTCCCATACCCTCACGTATCCTCAGTTCTCGCACTGACGCTCAAGTGAACGGACATATTGTGTGACACTACCTCCTCCTACCACGTGCATCAACCATCACCACTATGTACAAGAGGCCAGCTACTAAATCATTAACTACCCCAAAGACCAAGAAATCAAGGCAAGCAATTACACTGGAGCAGAAAATCAAGGTGCTGGATGCACTGCATCAAGGAAATGGGGTTTCCCACATGTCAGATGCATCCACAGCCACACCGCTAGACAGTGATGTGGATGATGAGCTGGTTGAGTTGGGATTGGCATCTTCAGAGGATGAATTGCCTAACTAAAGTTGAGTGAAAATCTATTTTTGATAGCATAAAGTAATTAGAAAATATGATGTATGCACACACAATTAATAATTAAGAGAAATATCAATAATATTAGGTTTTTTAACACTTACATTAGTAGAAAAGATGGCTGGGCACACGGGGATGGGCGGTTGGTTCCGAGGCAGAGGGCAGATTATTGGCCCTCACCTGTATCACTTGTATTAATTGTATCACTATCCACCACAGAGGCTTGCAGGGCCTCTTTGTCAAACCCCTCAAAGGCCATATAAGTCCTTATCCTCACTATAATTATCACTATCACTGACTTGGGCCAGCTGTGGTGGGTGGCGGGTGAAGAACTCGGTAATGTTTTGATGACTGGGCGACCTTGTGCGCACCATGCTCGCGCCGTTTACACAACATGGCGGATGGCGGGAGGTTTGGATCCAAAAATGGTGCGGCTCACCAGCCGCTCTCCGTGTAAAGGGGTACACGCACCGCGGAATGTGAGCATCCTGGGTTCCGGCAGGGCACCGCGTAAAAGTGGAAACGCGGAATGTGGGACCGCGTAAAGTGAGGGTTGACTGTAGTCCTTCCAAAACTCTCTGAGCATTTTCTCACCTTCAGTAGCAGCAACAGCCTGAGCAAAGGTCGTACGTAAATAATTCGCTTTAAAAGCAGCAATAGCACCTTGATCCATGGGTTGGATGATAGAGGTAGTGTTAGGTGGAATGTAGACTACCTTAACATCAGAGTGCAGGTCATCCAGGTGTGGTGGGTGTCCCGGAGCATTATCCAAAATTAACAAAATCTTGAATGCAATCCCTTGTTGCAGACAATACTCCTTGGCTCGTGGAATGAAACAACTCAGGAACCAATCCTCAAACAGTACTAGGGCCATCCATGCCTTCTTATTACTGCAATAAAACACTGGCAGTGTGTGCTTGCTGACATGTTTAAAAGCCCTGGGGTTCTCTGAATGCTATATCATGAAGGGCTTTATCTTGAAACCACCTATATTCCCCCCCAACAGAAGTGTGATTTGGTCCTTGAATGCCTTGAATCCCGGCATGCTTTTCTCCTCTTTGTGGTTGTATGTCCGTTCTGGCATGTGCTTACAGAATAATCCAGTTTCATCCACATTAAATATTTGCTCAAGCAAATAATTTCCCTCCAAGATGACACAATCTAGCACCCACAAGGCACTTGCCGCCTCTCCACTCACCTTTACACTGTGCAAACTAACGTTTCTTAAACCTTTGGAACCACCCATGACTTGCTGTGAAGTTTTAGTCGCACTCATCACCTGCCTGCTCTTTCAAGCTTTCGAAAAGGCTTCTTACCTTAGCCTGTATTGTTAGAAGGCTTAAGGGTACACGCTTTTGTATCCAATCTTCTGTCCATATCACAAGTAATTTTTCCATCTCATTACTAATTAATGAAAACAAATGAGCAATATTGTATCATAAAGAGTAGAAAAACAGTGAGACAACCCATGGCATGGTCACTTTTACCCCCATGGAGGATAGATTAACGCTTACAAGAATATAACTTGCATTGCTAGAGTTCTTGTAAGATAGCGATTAACTTGAGTTTAAACACCACCTACTTTGCACCACACACACACACACACACACACACACGAGTTACTGAATATGAGGCCTACATGACCTCACACAATATGGCAAGAGACCAGCCCAGGCCATCAGCTGCAAATTATAATAATTTGTATGTTAAGCAGGTCCCGGGGAGTAAAATTGATTACTCAGGACATGGGGTAAAACAGAACCAGGGAAGGGTAGGTTTAAATGTATACTACAGTGAACCCTCACTTTACGCGGTCAATTGAACCCACGGAGGCCCGCGTAAAGTGAACAACATAACATATGGGATTAATTGAAATAGAGACCGGGCCGACCCCCAAACTCCACTTTTTCAGACACAATACCTACGTTGTAGTAAAAATAACTTCTTAATTTTATGATGGTATGTACACACAATTAATAATTAAAGAGAAATATCAATAATATTAGGTTTTTTAACACTTACATTAGTAGAAAAGATGGCTGGGCACACGGGGATGGGGGGTTGGTTCCGAGGCAGAGGGCAGATTATTGGCCCTCACCTGTATCACTTGCATCAATTGTATCACTATCCACCACAGAGGCTTGCAGGGCCTCTTTGTCAAACCCCTCAAAGTCCATACAAGTCCATATCCTCACTATCATTATCACTATCATTGACTTGGGCCGGCTGTGGTGGGTGGCGGGTGAAGAACTCGGTAATGTTTTGATGACTGGGCGACCTTGTGTGCACCCTGCTTGCGCCGCTCTCCGCGTAAAAGTGTACACACACCGCGGAAAGTGAGCATTCCGTGTTCGGCAGGGTATCACGTAAACGCGTAAAGTGGGACCGCGTAAAGCGAGGGTTGACTGTATACAAACAGTAGGAGCGTTAGAAATAAAATAGACTTGCTGAGAGCAGTTTTATGTACAGAGAATGTAGACGTCATAGCAATCACCAAAACTTGGATGAATCGGGCGAGCAAGAACTTTTTATCCAAGTATCACATAGAAGGGCACAACCTATTTCACGAGGACAGGGAAGGTAGGAAGGGGGGGGGGGGGTCTCACTCTTTGTCAAGGATACATTAAAATGTTTTATTAATAATTAAATAAAGGGTGAATTGGAACCACGTCTGTATGGGTAGAAATTGTGGAAGGAAGAGAAAAACTAATTTACAGGCCCCCAATTCTTGGGAAAGCAGCAGCTCAGACCATATGGCAGGAAATGAGTAGGGCAGCAAAATACAAGAACCTGTGCATTATGGTGGATTTCAACTTCAGAAATATTGACTGGGACAACATTATAGGTGACTGAATCTGGAGACTTCCTAGATGCAGTAGAGGACAATTTTTTTTAAATAACTAATTACAGAATCTACTCGAGGTGACAATATGTTAGACCTGGTATTAACAAAGAAAATATTATTAGAGATATCACAATAAGGGAAGAACTAGGGAACAGTGATCACAGAGAAATCAGGTTCACACGGGGAACTGTCGTCAAGAAGCAAACCACCATTTCTTTCTTATCTTCTTATCTTTCGGTATTGTGATGAATATTTTGCCTGATGAGGAATTGTCGTTACTCCTGCACATTGGCACGAAGCACCAACTTGAACATTATATAAGGCCACAAGTCCAGTATTTATGTAGGTAACAAAACACATTCAACAGCTGGCTGGTTCCTGGTGTGCTTTTACTAATATGTGACGTCACAACCAATCACAGAGCTTTTCGCAGTCACGTGACTTTTTAGCATCTTTAACCCTTATTTTTTACCCTTTTTGGCACAATTTATTAAAAAATATAATTACCATAGTGAATTTAAGCATTTTTTTTTACCCATTGACCTGCCATCTTATGAAAAAATTATGACCAACTTGTCCATTAGCCACCCTACCCCCTAAACACCACACACACCCCGACATCACACACAAACACACCCTCCAACAAGGGAATTAAGACAGCAAGCATGAGGAGTGAAGGTCTTATTGTGTGGCACATCTGCGTGTGTGTGACTGCATGGTAGCGAGTTAAATATCAGCTGTTGAGGAGTGCTTGGCAACACTCATTTCCACTCCATCTCTCTAATCACCCACACCTTTCTGCTTTCTCACTCCATATTTTAAAATGCTACGTAACGTATTGTTGAAAGGATACAACTTTGCTTATTTAAACTTATATCTGGCCGAACTACAATCTCTAAAAATACTTTAGGTTTCGTGTTATTCAAGACATCTTCAGATCACGAGCCCCACTATTCCTCCACCCAAGAAAGGGTGACCTGATATTCCACCAGGTCAGTAATATGAGACCACTAATCCCCCACCCTACCTCCAATTGACATTGCATCAGGTCAAGTCAGTTACACAAGACCCACTAATCCCTCACAGCTCCATGGGAGTGGAAAATAACAGTCTGCTGTAACACACAGCTTCATTCATCACCATATCCTATAGATTTTTAATTTTTAAATGCATTTATTTAACCAGACTTTTAATTAAACTACAGTATTCTTGATTATTATAGTAAAGAAATAAAATTACTTTCTTAATTAGAACTGTATTTATGGATTCCAGTAGTTTAGACTCAAGGAAAACAACTCCAGCACCCAGAAAAGTTTTGGGAAAGTGAACTTGTGTGCGCCTGTGCAAGAGGTCTAGTTTAGACACTCGGAAACTTTTCCCAATAACCGGAAAAGGTTCCGGAATATAAATTTTTCCGGGTTTGAGAAAGTCGTCTCGTTACCCGGAAATCTCTCATTCCCGGAAGCGCTCTGCACCAATTGTTCCAGCTAATGAGGATATCACTATACTGTACAGTACATTAGATGCCTTTGCACAATGAAGAACATTTAAGCAAGTGTTGCCTGCAAATAAAAGTCCTGTAAGAGCTTAATTTTCACAAATCTTAACAAAAAATATATTCTTACACAAGAACATAAACTATAATAACCCCATCAACTTTCAATTAAAAAAAATTATGTTTTAAATCATGTAGTATTTCTTACTTGGTCCTTGGTTCTCCGCAGCATAAGAACTTTCACCAACAGACCCAGTCGGCGCATTCCAACTGCACTGCTATTGGAGACCTGTAGCTTCCAACACTGAAAAAGATGAAATTTGTTAACAAAGAATAATTCCAACCAATTTTCTTTATACCTTATCTGCAACACCTACTACAAAACAATGTTTCCATTATGTGGGATGGCCTTAGCAGAAAAGGATTCAGGCCTTACTCTGCATTTTTTTTTTTTTTTTTTTTTTTTTACTGATTAGCCCACCTGGGTATAGGTCACTGACCCACATTGGGGCCGGGGGGTGGGGATGGGGATGGGGATGTAGTAGTAGTAGTAGCAGTAATAATAATTGTAATAATCATGAAAATAATAATAATAATAATCATGAAAATAATAATTGTAATAATCATGAAAATAATAATAATAATAATCATGAAAATAATAATAATCATGAAGATCATCATAATCATAATCATAATCATAATAATAATAATAATAATACAGTAATATCTCCGTTAGCCGGAATCACTCAAACCCGGAAATCACCAATAGCCGGAATTGAAATTTGCCCGAAAAATCATTCCCAAAACCGGAATTAAAATTTTTTCGGCTTTGGGAACAAATTTTCCGAGGTTGAAAGTCGATAGAAATTTTTGAAAATGTCTTGAATAAAGTTGAAAGTTAAAGTATTTTTAGGGGGGGAAATGACCTGGCCTGAACTCGATGTCAGGTGGAGATAGGGTGGGGGATTAGTGGTCTCATATTACTGTCCTTCTGATGGAATGTCTTGAATAAACATGAAACTACAGTATTTTTAGGGAGATTGTGATAAGTATAAGTATAAATGAGTAAAGTCGCCTCCTTTCAACATTACATTACGTAACATTTTAAAATATGGAGTGAGAAAACAGAACGTTGTGGGTGATTAGAGAGATGGTGTTTTAAGGAGTGATAACATGCACCAGTGTTGCCGAGCAATAAGCTCCTCAACAGCTGATCTTTTAATTCACCTCCATGCAGTCACACAACAAGACCCTCACTGCATGCTTGTTGTCTCAATTCCCATGTGTGTCTGTGTATAGTTGTGTGTGTGTGTGTGTGTGTGTGTGTGTGGTTGTGGTTGTGTGCATGTGTGTGTGTGTGTGTGGTTGTGTGTACTTAAATGTACTAAATAAATTACTGAAATAAAAATATTATTGGAAACGTTTGGTAAAGAATTTATTAAGGATCATTATGGTATCAAAGCCACGCTCGAGGGAAAGGGGGGGGGGACTGACCATGCGACCCTACCACCCAGACACACCCTCCTGCAACCACATACACCCACCCTCCAACACCACCTACACACCCCCAGCACATATGCGTGTGAGTGACTGCCTGGTCACTCCTACTGTAAATACACTACATAACATTAAATAAAAGCTACATACAGTGGTCCTTCAGTTAACGAATGGTACAGTTAACGAGATTTCGGTTAACGAATTACCTTCCATAAGAATCTTCAATTCGGTTAACACACAAAAATTCAATTAACGAAATCCTTACGAACATCACGTTTTCTTGTGAGCATCAGCTGATGGGCTAGTCTGCCAATTCAGTAATACAGTAATCTGTTCTATGTTTACATTCGTTTCCAGTGGAGTAAATATCAAGAAACTTGTGCTCTTTACTATTTGTGCATTTTTTATATTAAAATTATTGGTCATTTTAAAATATAGCCATCCAAGCTCTGTCTACATAAAGTTTTTCAACTATTATTTTTGGCTCAATATATGTAACTTTATTCATTTATTGAAACTCATTTACATGCATGCACTGTCCTTAGGGCAAAGCTGTAAGTACATGTAATTAAAATAATGTACAAAATGAATACTAAGATTTTAGCCTAGTGCAAACTATTGCATGTTTACATTCAAATTAATCACTATCGTATAAGAATTCCAGCAATGTAAATCATATTCTCCCAGGTCACTTCTATGAAATTTTATAAGCAAAAAACAAAAACTAAATCTAAAGGAAATAAATAAACAAATTAATCCTTCACTAGACCTTCGGAGCTAACTGTCAAACATGTCACTGTCACCCCCCCCCCCTCCCAGCAAGGGTTTGGTGGTTATACAGTAGGCTTTAAGTTTTTATCTTATATAATATCACAGACTAAAGTTAGGAGAATATAATTTGCATTGCTGGAACCCTTGCAAGACAGTGAATAATTTGAATATAAACGTCATATATTTTGCACAAGAGATAAAAATTTTAGTACATTAGTGTACACTATGGCAGTACATTTTATAATGTAAAGTTTTTCAACTGTATTTTTGGGTAGATTTACATAAATTTCTTCATTTATTTTCATTCATTTACATGCACACACCATACTAAAAGAAATAAATGACCCAAGTGCAAACCCGTAGTTATATTCAAATTAATCACTATCTTAAAAGAATCCCAGCAAAGTAAATTATATTCACCCAGGTCATTTCACTGGCATTTTATAAGAGAGAAGCTTAGTCACTTAAGGACTGATAAATAAACACACATTAGACCTTGGGCATCAACTGACAAACGTATCACCTCACCTCCCCCACCACGCTCGCTCCCTCCCTCTGCCCAGCCAGGGTTTTAGGCTTACAGTTTTTATCTTATATAGTATCTCAGACTAAAGTTGGGAGAATATAATTTGCATTGCTGGAATCCTTGCAAGACAGCGAATAATTTGAATATAAAAGTCATATATTTTGCACAAGAGATAAAAAATTAATCACCTGTATCACATTACAGTAGTGATTTAAGAGTAAGAGTGTATATGTACGTTATATATACAGTCATCCCTTGGTTATCACGCCTAATTGGAACCCCGCCGAGTGCGTGATAACGAAAAACGCGATAACGAAAGTAGAGAACTTATGGGATTTATTCTAAATGGTTCCAGGCACCCAAGACCCAACCCCAAGTTTCCCATTTTACGACCATTTAGGCCCACTAAATATATATATAATGTTATGGTAAATATCATAAACACACATAGGCATGGCTAGGTTTATTAAAGTGATGAAAAGGGTACGCTCAATACTGTAGTCCACAAAACATATAGCTATGCTTTCTTTATTTGAGTCCCCGTCATAGGAGTCCGTTTTCTCTCGTTTCAGGACGCCTGAGTCCTCTGTTTTCTCTCAATGCACCAGAGACTTCGTTATTCCTTAGTAATGACAAAGAATTTGAAATTGCAACCCCAATTGCAACTGGGGTTGCAATTGTTGAGGCACCTAGATATGTCTGATCACAGCAAATGTGTTAATGTCAATTTGTAGGTGAAAGATTTTATCCTCAATAGATGTAGGTGAAGCAAGGGGTCAACATTACACCTGGAGGCAAATGCGTGACAACCAAATCCTCGGCCTGAAAAATGCGCTATAACCAAGGGATGACTGTATAGTGATTTAAAGGCGATTTAGGTGAATTTTAGGGTGTTTCTGACTATACGCATTTTTGGCTTTACTTTGTATGTACTTTTCTGTGAGCTGGAACCAATTACCCAATATCCCACTGTACAGTATTTTTTACATTAATTTTGCTACATCTACGACCATCGTTAGTCGAGACTTTAATGTACACAAAAATCAATACCCACACATTTCATCCCAAACTATCCAACCAGGAGCAAACTCGTAACAATGGTTTTAAATTAGACAAATTTAGATTTAGGAGCGAAATAGGTAAACATTGGTTTAGAAAGAGAGTACTGGATGAGTGGAACAAGTTACCAAACATCATCATTAACTCGAATATGCAGGATAGTAGTGACAATTATTGTTGTACGCTACTATTCACAAAACATCTGTCATTGACAATACAATATTAATTATTTATTAATTAATACGACATCACACCCAGACACCACCGACACACCCCCATATTGTATGACAAATTTATGTGTGGTTAACTACTGGTACGTGGTGGTTTGCCCTTAACACAATTATTTCTTTTACTTTTCTCACACTATGTAATTAGGATGGTGTGTGCATGTAAATAAGTAAAAATAAATGAAGTTACATATATCTACCCAAAAATACGAGTTGTTTTATATGTAAATGTACTACAGAACACTATAGGACTAAAATTTTTATCTCTTGTGCATTATATATGATGTTTATATTAAAATTATTTACTGTTTGCAGTATATACATATATATATATATATATATATATATATATATATATATATATATATATATATATATATATATATATATATATATATATATATATATATATATATATATATATATATATATATATATAATAAATTTTAGTAATTTTAGCAATTAACTTAGTACATTTGAGCAAGTTGTGATAATTGTAATGATTTATCCACAACTTTTACAGCATTTCTGTTGACTTTTAATATCTGTGGAACATATCCTAATTTTCCCCATTAGATTAGGTATTCACTACAGTGATCCCTCGGTTAACGAGCACCTCGGTTAACGATTTACCTTCCATAACATTCTTAACTTCAGTTAACGACCAATCCCTCGATTAACGAACTTCTTACGAGCGGACCTCAACAAGTATTCACTTGCATTTGGCGGTCCACCAGCTGTAGTATTAGTCCGCCAATACAGTAATCGGTTCTAGGGCTTAAATTCCTTACCATTTTAGCAAATATCAAGAAGTTTATACTATTCAATAATTTTAAAAGTTTAATATTAAATTTTTTAGTCATTTTAACAATTATTGAACATAATTGAAGGTAATGAAACTAGTTTTATGCGCGCCATCCAGCCTCTCAACACACCATACAGGCGTCAGTCTTTGTGTCTTTTCAGTGGAGGTAACATCTTGCTTGAGACTCTCCAACTAAATGCTTTGTTTCTGTGTTTGCAAGCAAATTATTGGTCATTTTGAAATTTATTTTACATATTGACAATATATAATGCAGTGCAGTGTTGGTTTAAAGAAAATAATCTTGAATTACACCAAGAGAACTAAAATTTTATGGGTGAAATGGCGCCATGGGGTGACTTCTCTTCCACCCCAATGCCTTCTCTTCTTCCTTCTCCTCCACCCCCATTCTAATTCCCATCATCATCATCATCATCATCATCCAGGAGCCTTCTACATACACACCTCAAAGTAAGTGTACTTTACTACCTTTTTTTGTCGATTTTAGGCAATTTTTGGTGAGCTGGAACCAATTACCCAAAAACCCATTGAAACAATGGTTTCGGTTAACGAGCATTCTTCTGGAACGAATTGTGCTCATGAACCGAGGGACCACTGTATATGCGTCCTGAATCATCAAAGCTGACTATTGGGTCCCAGTTTAGCGGGGTCCAACCTGTAGTTCATCGAATAAATCGGGCCTCAGTCAGGTCTAATACCTGTGTTTGCAATATACTTTGGACAACTACTGTATAATACATAAGGAAATCACTAAAAGGTAACAATGTGACTTACAGTATAATCATCAAAAGGTGAAGCTCTCAGGTAGCGCACCAAAGAGTACAGGTCCATCTCACGGTTTTGAACAGGTGTTCCTGTTAAGGCCCATCTCCGACCACCTCGAAGTAAACACACTGCTTGGGCTGTCTTACTCTTATGGTTCCGAATAACATGTGCTTCATCTAGAATAATACGGGTCCAGCCGACACGAAAAAGACGGCCTTGACTCTTGGCTTTTACCTGAAAAGTAAAGGAGTTACAATAAAAATAAATAAAACACAGTAAACCCCCGAAAGTCCGGACCCATAAGTCCAGATCTCGGATAGTCCAGACCCTTTTTGGGCAGGAAACATTTGCACCAACCTTTAAATATTTGTGACTTGAAATTCCCACCATGCAGGGTCATTTGAAATTGCTGCCAATGAACAATCTCTTGGCCCCTTTCCTCCTTCGGACCCATGAGTAAGCAGTTCATTTCCCACCCTTACAATGGACTCACCCATACTGCTGCACTGTGAATGGTTAGCTTTAAGTTCAACACACATTCGGCCGCAGAAAAATGGTAGGATTTTAGGTAAAATAAATCACCCATGTCATGCACGTACGCACAAACGCGCACACACACACCTGCCACACTCCATCTCAGTCTTCCTTATTGTACTTTAAAGTCAAATTACAAATTATATTATAATTCATTCTATTATTTAATATTATTAATGAAGAAACATACACCATAAGAGAATATAATAATGAATAAATAAAAACAAAAATGCGCATAAGCAACAAACAGTCCCATCCCCAACCCCCCTCCACCTTTTAAAGAGAGAGGGTGTGAGTGGTCAGGGCTGTTAGGGAAGAGATTACTTTCTGATTTGGCTTGTCCTTTTGTTCTGAAGTCAAATTACAAATAAAATGCATATTGTATATTTTCTATTATTCAAGACATTAATTATTTATATTGAAATATACTGTACATCATAAGAGGCTGATCATACAAAAAAAAATTAATGAATAAAAACAAACTAGTAAACATAGCAACAGCCAATCCCCCCCCCTCCAGAACATTTACACTTTTAATGTTATCTCGTACCTATTAGCACTCGTTAGGCCTATATCAAATCTGATTAGACCACTGTACTGTGTCCCCATTAAAGCCAATACAGCATAATGCATATTTTAATAACAAATAAGGTAATACAGTATTACCCCGCTTTACACGGTTTCACTTTCCGTGATTTCTCATTTACGCGGTACCTTGCCAGAACCAGACTTTCACTTTCCGCGGTGCATCTACTCATATACGCGGTGAAGTATATTTTTTTTTAGCTCATAAAATTCATACAAATTACCTGGCCAGAATATAATTTACATTGCTGGAATTCTTACAATATGATGATCATTTTGAATATAAACATCATGGAATTTGCATTAGACATACAAATTTTAGATCTAATGTTATAATTTGGTTTACACAAAGCAAATATTTTATCTTTTGTGCAAAATATATGACGTTTACATTCAAAATATTCCCTGACCTGCAAGGAATCCAGAAATGTCAATTATATTATCCTAACTTTAATCTGAGGTTTTATTTATTACTAAAAGTTAAAATCTAGTTTTTTCACCCAACATCTCTTGAAGGGAGGGTTGGGACGGACCGACCACCTGGCGTGGTTGGAAGAGGGGGGGAGGCAAGGTGGGGTACTTTGATTGACAGATAGTGTCGTGAAGAATATTTTTTTTTATTAACTGAAGATATTTGTTTTAGCTCATAAAATTCATACAAATTACTCGACCAGAATATAATTTACATTGTTGGAATTCTTACAATATGATGATCATTTTGAATATAAACATCATGGATTTTGCATTAGACATACAAATTTTAGATCTAATGAAATAATTTGGTTTACACAAAGCAAGTATTTTATCTTTTGTGCAAAATATATGAAGTTTACATTCAAAATATTCCCGGACCCTCAAGGAATCCAGAAATGTCAATTATATTATCCTAACTTTAGTCTGAGGTATTATTTATTACTAAACGTTAAAATCTAGAGTTTTCACCCAATCATTTCTCAGAGAGGTTAGGGGCCAGTGAGCTGGGAAGAGAGGGGGGGGGGAGTTGAGTCCATTATTTGAATGGACATTAACCTGGCAACTGTATTTCTCTTAAATATTAATTGTGTGAGCATACCATCATAAAATTTAGATGTTATTTTTACTACAACAAAGGTATTGTGTCGGAAAAAGTAGAGTTTGGGGGTTGGGCCAGTCTCTATTGGAATTAATCCCATATGTTCTGTTGTTCACTTTACGCGGTTTTCACTTTCCGCGGTACTGTACCCTGTGGGTTCAATTGACCGCGTAAATCGGGGTACTACTGTATTTCTTAGGGGAAAATTTATTCCATTAGCGTGTTAACGTCGCAGTTTTCAGGAATGGAACCACGACGTTAAGCGAGGACTTACTGTACAACGAAGAAAAGCAAAAATTAAAGTTTAACACTTATATTGAAACCTGGGGCTGGCTTGCATGTAGAGATGGGCATTTGAAGGTATGACAGGCTTTATTGGGACGAAACTCAAGACGGTGATGTAGATGTTAACAGGATTGGTTCTGGAGAATCTGGTGAGGTAGAATTAACTGGTTCTGGAGTTGCTGGGAGTTGTTCTGTACAGTAGATGCTACAGAGGTTGATGGAGTTGCTCTGTGGTAGCTACAGAGGTTGATGGGACTGGTTTTGGCTGCCATTCAACTTTCTTAAATAACTTTTCAAGGTGATGGTTGAACTGAAACTTTCTTCTTTTCCTCATAAATCTCTTTGTAGCTTTGTAGCATCGTAGATATTCGGTAAAACCTCCATGAACCTTGCTGTGTCGGTATCTTGCTATTCAATAAGCCTGAAACCTTCTGCCATTTCTTTTGTAATGAATCGCTTTGGTTCTGGAGTTTCAGCTTCCTCTACATCCTCTGACAAATTTTGCTTCTCCAGTTCAATCAGGTCCACATTGCTTAATTCTTCAGCATAAGACTCAAGCAACAGTGTGACTTCATCCTTAGGGATATCAAGCTGGAGTTAGTTCCCAAGGTCTACCACTGTCTGTGTCACTTCCCCAGCATCATCTTCAAAGCCCCTGAAATCGTGTGTAAACTGTGGGCAGAGTTTTTTCCAAACACTATTCATGTTGGTTTTTTTACCTTAGCCCACGAATCTGCAATGTTTTCACAGCATCCAAAATGTCATATGATTTCCAAAATTCCTTTAAAGACCTACCCTCTTTTTGTTCTGTTGCCCTGATAGCTTGAGCAAATGTTCTTCTCAGGTAATATGCTTTAAATGAAGCAATAACTCCCTGGTCCATCTGCTGTAAAACAGATGTTGTGTTTGGAGATAGGTACACAACCTTAATGTTTGGTAACATCATCTAAAAATACTGGATGGCCAGGTGCATTGTCAAGAACCAAGAAAATTTAAAAAGGCACTGACTTTGAAACACAATACCGCTCCACTTCAGGCACAAAATGATGAAGGTACCAGTCTTCAATAAGTGCCAATGTCACCCAAGCCTTCTTATTAGATTTCTAGAAAACTGGAATTGCTGCCTAGAAAACACCCTTCAAAGCTCGAGGATTTTCTGACTGGCAGACAAGCAAGGATTTTAGTTTGTTGTCCCCAGCAGGATTACCCCCCAGAAGTAAGGTCAGCCTCTCCTTGGCAGCTTTATGCCCCGGTGCTGTTTTTTCATTTTTGAAAGATACGTGGGTTCAGGCATCCATTTCCAAATAAACCAGTCTCATCAATATTAAAAACTTGCTGAGCACAATAACCTCCTTCTTCAATTATGTTAGCTAAAGCAGCAAGAAATCCACTTGCTGCATATGCACTGGCTGCTTCCCCCTTGCACTTTAAAGTTTGGCCTTGCCTTAAACCGGTTAAACCAGCCCCTACTGTACTAGCAACAAAATCTTCCCCATCACTTTCACCGCCACGTTTAGCCTTCAAGTCAGCATGCAAGCTTCTAGCTTATTCCTGAATCAAGGCTAGACTTAGAGGCAGACACTGTTGGTTTTGTTCTTCCACCAACATCACTAACAATCTTTCCATTTTAATTAACAATCTACTTCTTTGTTTTGTTATCACAGTTCACTGCATTGTGTGTAGATCCTTTAACATGTTCAAGAATTTTCTCTTTGTCTTTCAAAATTGTTCCGACCATTGACCGACTGAAGCCCAACACTTTAACAATCGCTGATGGTGATTTGCCTTTTCCAGAACGTTTAATTACATCAACTTTCACTTCCAGCGTAATTGTTTTCCTTTCCTTGGATCCACTACTATCACTTGCATCAGGTTTGCATTTGGGAGCCATGATGAGGGCAGAAAAATCGAGTTAAAAAAGTAAATGCACTCAATCTTGCACAATAAGGCAGTGAGGATAAAGCATACTGACGCTCCTTTTCCCTCAAAGCGCCTAACTGGGTGCGACGCCTCACTCTCTATGCTGCACAATCTAGTTCTCGTACGTAACTGCTACGAACCATTGTAATTACGTTGGTTTTTTTAAATAATTGACCTTATGGGACCTCGTTCGTATACTGCCCCATTTGAACCCACCGTTCGCCTTCAGTGCTCTGCTATTATCCCTCATTTAGTGATAATTTTGCTTAATAATGGGTTTTCAGGAATGCAAACCCTTGTTACCTAAGAATTACCCAAAAAATGGAGTGCAGACCAATGAAAATTTGTAGGTTTCCTAATCTGCATCCTTAAATTACCTGTTTAAAATTTCAAGATGTTTAACTGACCCTTAACCACCATTTTTACAATTGCTCCTTAGTTTATGGAAAGTGCTCATCATCATCGTTTTACAGCCATTTTCCACGCTTGTGAGGGCTAGATGTAATTACCTGATACAGCTCTCCATGCTGCATGGTCTCTGACAGACAAACTGAGAGTGAAAACTAAATATCACTACAGGCTAATTAGAAAGTAGAAAAGCAATACGTATACTGCATGATGGTCAGAGATATATATCAGTTGACTAAGTTAGGTAAAAAGGAAATATAAATCCAAATGGGAGACATCTTATTAACTTTGGAACCATTTGAAGTACAGTATACGTGAAATGAAAATGAATAATTGATCAACAGCTTTAAAGGGCAGTAAAACAAACACTACGGCTATATAAAGGGCAGGAGACAAACATGTGAAGAGCAACAGACAGTTTACAATTACTATATGGCAAACTCTTCCCTACTCCTATTGAGATAAAAGCTGCTTACTGTAAACAGATACCTTTGGAACAGCATCCTTGCTACTCTTCTTCACCTTCTCTTTGCCACTAGGAAAAGCTTCCTTCATAACCAGTTGGTAAGTGGTGATTACAAGGTCAAACTGAGCCAAGCTGTGAGACAAAGGGATAATATTATTTGTTCATTCATATATTCCCAATACATTTCAAATTACATTACAGTGCTCCGCATTTGTTGCAGGGATTCTGTTATTATCTCTTGTTGTATGCCTCTCTCTACAAACATTAATCCAGACTAATAAGAACATGTCCTCCAATCAATCTCTATATCCTAACAGTCCACTAGGTCAAATGACCCTAGTGATCAGTACAGTAGCATACAGTGGTCCCTTGGTTAACGAACACAATTCGTTCCAGAAGGTCCTTCGTTAACCGAAACCATTGTTTCAATGGGATTTTGGGTAATTGGTTCCAGCTCAACGAAAATTACATACAAACTAAAAATAAATGCAGTAAAGTATACTTACTTTGTGGTGTGCATGTAGAAGGCTCCTGGTTGATGATGATGATGATGGGAATTAGAATGGGGGTGAGGGAGAAGGCATTGGGGTGGAAGATAAATCACCCCATGCTTCATGTTGCCATTTCACCCATAAAATTTTAGTTCACTTGGTGTAATTCAAGATTATTTTCTTTAAATCAACACTGCACTGCATTATATATTGTCAATATGCAAAATAAACTTCAGAATGACCAATAATTTTACTGTAAAAATGTAAAAATAGTTTATGTTCAAGAGAGCCTAAAGCAAGATGCTTCCTCCACTGAGCAGGGAGATAAACTGACGCCATTTTGGGCGAGTCAAGTGGCTGTTTGGAGCGCTAAAAACGAGTTCCCTGTACTTCAATTATGTTAAATAATTGTTTAAATGACTAAAAATTTTAATATAAGACTTGGAAAATTATTGAATAGGACAACCTTCTTGATATTTACTGAAATGGTAACGAATTTAAGCCCTAAAACCAATTACTGTATTGGCGGACTAATACTACAGCTGGTGAGCAGCCGAAAGCAGGATAAAAACATGTTGGGAAAAATTCGTAAGGAATTCGTTAACCGAATTGAACATTCTTATGGAAGGTAATTCGTTAACCGAAATTTTGTTAACCGAGGGATCACTGTACGGGTAAACCTCTAAATTGCAATGGGGTTCATTATAACATGGGGTTCAATGGGATAGGTTCCTGGCCAAATATGACAAAAAAAAACCTTACAAAACAGTTAAAACAAAACAAATAAACAAGTTTGTCATCATCACATGTCCTCTTCAAGAGAGGCTAAGAGGACTCTTAAGGTGGATTGGAGACATCAACCTGAGTCCAACACAGACTTTGGGGGAGTCTGAAGAGTGGGGACTGGGGGTGTAGTCTTCATCTTAGCCTTAAAGATAGTGAGCAAAATGCTTGCCAAACTTTATCTAAGTTACATTGCTCACTTTAGTCACAAAAACATGAAAATAATGATGGGGACTCTAATTCTTTTATAGAATATGTAAGAAATGTTGCAATGGAAGTGCGTTAGGGGATTAGTGGGTCTCGTGTTAGAATACTGACCTGACCTGGTGGAAGTGAGGTGGGGGATTAATAGTCCCATATTTCTGACCTTTTGATGCAATGTCAGGTCACCCATTGTCAGGGTGGGGAATTAGTGGGCCTCATGACCTGAGATGTCTTGAATAAAGACAAAAGGTAAGTAGCTAAAATATATTCATGTCTAGCAAAATAGTGTACAAACTTTTATTCACAACACCTACTCTAATTGTGTTAGAGAAATGAATTTAGTACCATTGCATATACAGTATAGTCTCGATTTACGCGGATTTACTTTAAGCATTTGGTCATTTACGTGGCACATGACCAGACGCGCCAATCATCAGTTATGCGGTACATTCCTTCATTTACGCCGCACGCGAGAGGCCCAGATGAGCCAATTATTAGTTACGCGGTACATTCTTGCCCATACGCAGGAAGCGGCGCGGGGAGGGTGCGCAGTATGTCGATCTTACGTTATCGCTGACGTCATATGACGTATCGGACTGTGATTGGGCCACGCATCCTTATCTCCCTCCGCCGCTAGCTTGATTGGTCTAATGTAACATGACTTGCCCTGCCCTGCCGGAGGGAATAAGTCGCTGACCTATGCTGCGCCAGTCTCATTGTTCTCAGTCTCCGCGTATACTGTTCTCTCTTGTGCCCGCTAATCCATTCAACAATGGCGTCTGCTGGACCCCCACCACCCCCGAGAAACCTTGAACTACCTGGACCCAGTCGGCCAAAGGCAAAGAAGATACGACGCACTTTAAGCTATGAAGTAAAATACAAAATCGTGCAGGAGTTGGAGAAAGGAAAGAGACAAGTTGATTTGGCGCGCCAGCATGGCGTGAACGAATCTACGATCCGGACGATCAAGAGGGATGCCGCCAAGATCAAAGAACACATGCGCATCACAAAGTCTGCAGGTTTGTCAATGGTAAAATATTGTCAGAATAAAGTGCTACTCAAGACTGGGGGTTTATTGGTGAGCTACTTGATTTGTCAGGTGAGAAGGAACATAGTGGTGGACACTCGCGCGGTGCAGGACTACGCCCGTTAACTGTACATAGCAGTGGCGCGGTAAATGGAAATTGCAGAGCCCAAACACTTCACTGCTTCTGCTGGGTGGCTGCAAGGGTTTAAAAGATGCAATAAAATAACTAACATTGAAATTGTTGGTGAAGGTGTTAGTGCTGACCGTGCTGACCGTGCTGCGGCGAGTGATTTTCCTCCATTCTTACGAGAAATTATGGAGGAAGGACAGTACACCGACAACCAGGTGCTCAACATGGATGAATCCGGTCTCTTTTGGAAGAAATTACTTTCCAAGACATTCGTCGTCAAGTCTGCCAGCAAGTGTAGGGGCCGTAAGTTGCAGAAGGAGCACATCACCGTACTGTTCACCACCAATGCCTCCGGCACCTGTAAGCTCAAGTTGTCTGTGATCCACACAGACCGCAAGCCACACGCCTACAAAAACATGGACATGAGGAAGTTAAATGTCCACTGGCTAACATCAAGGAAGGCGTGGATGTTCAGCGGTCTGTCCCTCTCCTGGTTTGACGACTGTTTCGTTTCTGACGTCAAGCAATTCTGCAAGCAACATAATGTTCCATTTAATATTTTGTTGCTTCTTGATAACGCACCAGGACACTCACCCCTATTGCTGGATCGTCACCCCAACGTAAAAGTGGTTTTCCTTCCCCCTAACACTATGTCGTTAATCCAGCCCATGGATCAAGAGTTAATTTGTAATGTCAAGGCTGCTTTCTCCGCAAAGAAGTTTTGGCTCCTTAATAACTTGACCAACACCAAGGATGAACTGCGGAACCTTCTGAGTGACACCGATAGCGAGAGCGAAGATCAAAAAGAAGAGTTGGCGGAGAATGAAATTCGCGTCAAACAGTTTTGGAAGAAATTCAACGTCAAGAAAGCTGTTGATTTCTTGGTGGAGGCATGGGGGCAGCTGTCTGTGGCAACGATTCGTCATGCGTGGCAGCATGTGTTGCAGGGTATCCCAGGTGGGAGGCAGAGTCAAGCGGTGGTGGCTGGTGAGGTTCAGTCTGTTGCAGTGGCATTGGACCTTGCAAGAGAGGCTGCACAGAGTGTTACAGCTGCAGGCTTCTCCGAGACCACCAACGACGACATCCTGGAGGTTATCAGGCAACCTGAGGTGACTGCTGACGAGTTGCTGGAAGTTGATGACGTCAGTGAGGAGGCAGGTGGTAGGGCAGAAAAAGAACAAACGTTAAGTCATAGTGATGTAAAGGAGGCCATCGAGTATGTCGAGAAAGTCAAGCTCATCCTTTCAAAAGACCCAGTGAATCACTGCTATGAAGTTACCAATAACCTCCTGTTGCAATCTATAGAGCAGTATATTCAGTTGCATCACGACAACATCAATGCTAGTCGTCAACGTAATATTACGGAGTTCTTCGCCGCAACCCACCACAGCCACAGCCAGCCCAAGTCAGTGATAGTGACAGTGACGATATGGACTTTCAGGGGTTTGTCAGGGAGGCCCTGCAAACCTCTGTGAATAGTGGTGGTGATTCACCGGAGGGCCACTAATCTGCCCTCTGCCTCGGAACCAGCCGCCATCCCCGTATGCCGACCCATCTCTTCTACTAACGTAAGTGTTAAACACCTTCATATTTGTACAGTAGTGTAGATTTTTATTTATATATTATGTGTGTATGCAAATCATCATAAAATTATGATGTTATTTTTACTACAAGGTACGTATTGTGTCGGAAAAAGTGGAGTTTGGGAGTCGGCCCAGTCTCTATTTTAATTAATCCCAAATATTGTTATTTAATTTACGCGTTCCTTGTTTTACGCGGACCTCCACGGGTTCAATTGCCCGCGTAAATCGAGACTATACTGTACAGTACAGTAATCCTGCGTTTTTTGCGGGGTTTTTTATCGGGGTTTGTACCATTTGCATTTTTTTTTTACTCGATCCGTTCCAGAAGGTCGTTCGTTAACCGAAAAGTTCGTTAACCGAAACCATTGTTTCAATGGGTTTTTGGGTAATTGGTTCCAGCTCACAGAAATTTCCTAACTTCAACAAAAATGGCAGAAAAATTTACTTACTTTGAGGTGTGTATGTAGAAGGCTCCTGGATGATGATGATGATGTGCATTTGAAGTGGGAGGTGGAGGAGGAGAAGGGAGAAGAGAAGGAAGTGGAGGTGGAGAAGCATTTTACTGCTTCTTGGAAGGTGAGTCACCTTCCATGAAAATGTCAGGAACCCCTGGACTGACAGATTCTCCACCATGAACATCCTCTCTCCTCCTTGAAGTGGAAGGCTGAGGGCTAGCATCATCCTCTCTCCTCCTTGAAGTGGAAGGCTGAGGGCTAGCATCTTGTTCCCTCTGCCTTTTACTGAAGAAAGTGTCAATTGTGGTCTGTGGGGCATCTGTCCTCCTCACCATTAACTTATGTTTAAAGAAGGAGACCACTGAGTCCTCAACATGACACAAAGTTAGTTCAGTTTTTTCCACTTCTGGGTGCTTTGAAGCCAGTTCCCTGAACTTCTCCCGGTGGTAAATCACATCT